TCGACTACAAAAATCTTTCATGTTTTATCTTAAATATAAATACATTCAACAACAATAGACATATTTCACTTTAAGTGCATAAGAAATATGAACCCCACCTTCCTTCCAGAGACCACGAGTAAAGTATGCATTTACAGTAGATTTTGAGGTACATAAATTGCCAAGTAGCATCAACTTTTCAAACAACAGCTTTACAGTTATCAGATGCAGGTGTGGTTAAACAAGGAATACTTTTTCCCTGTTTGGTTTCTGATAATTATGATCTAAAGCCTTCTCTGGGCCCAGACTGTATCGGTCCTCCTCCTCTTTCTTCTGCCATTTGTAGATTAATATTCCTGCCACAGTTGCTGCGAGAGCCAATCCCGTTACTCCCCCTGCAATAACACCTGTAAACATAAACCTAGGTGAGCTATATTAGAAAGTCGCAGCTTATAGCTTTCTTATTGTGCCATATTGCAAAGTACCTGCAAGGAATTCACTATTCTCAAAGTAGCTCCTGCTGTTTGGTATAGCAACATATCCAGAGTCATCGTCTGCTGCTGACCTGTGCGTGTTGCCAAACGTCTTGTCTGAAAAGCCCTAAAGCAAAAGACAAGACAGTTACACACGATCACTTCCTGTTACACCACCAACATCAACAGGTGAAGAAATCATGGGACTGATTGAAGTAAGTCATACATGGAAAGTAATCTTGGTCTCGTCTCTGGTTTCTGCCAGAATTCTGCCGTCTTTGCTGTTGTGCTGATCTTCAGTTACACCTGGCAAGAGTGCAGTTAGAGAGGATGAAACATACAGTGGTCATGTACATTATGTAAAATGGGTCATTAACATTTTATAGATGAAGAATTACCCTCCTCTGACCCATCTCCAGAACCGGAACCAGAACCATCCAGGTCATAGCCTGATCCCTCCAATTCCTCTGGAGGGACAGAAAGCTAATCATGGGGGGGAAAAAAACACAAGAGGGTATTTAAACATGCTGACTGCTTCCTGTTATATTGTTAGATATGAAAACATACAAGAGGTGAAGGAAGCTAACGAAGGTACTTTCCTTAAGAAGCCAATAAACACATGAATCATGTCCAGGATACAAAGTCCCACAACAAAATAAATAACCTGAAACACACACACTGTGGCTGACAAGCCCATAATGGCACAAGTGATTAGATTGTTACTGGCATGTAGTGTCAAGTAGATGACTTTAAGCGGGAATACAACTCCACCCATTTGGAAAGTAATTAAACTTAACAAAATACAACTTCAGGGAGTAATAATAAATACAGGTGACATCTTTAGCTAGAACAATCAGATGGGAATCAGATGGGAATGTCTAGTCCTCATAATCAGTGAATTCAGAACCCAAAGTACAATAAAACAATCTGTTGTTTATGTGTAATGAACAGATACAGGCCTCATAAGGAAGCCATTCTACAGCTGCAAGAAAGAGTTTGTGTACTCTTTGACCGGTATTCTGCATTATCACAAATAAAATGTGCTCTGTTACAGTTACAGGCAAACACAGTCATACTAAGCCAATAAACAGAGGCTCCACTGAGTCATAGCACAGCCTCCAAAAGCTACTTGAATTCATGTGTTCCAGTTTTAGAGATGAGATATGGAACGTGGGTTGTAAACATGACCCACCATACAGAGTCTGTACTGGGAAAGTTTGCTTTTCTCAAGAAAATTGGTTGAACCATGAACAACATTCACTGAATAAACCATTTTCAATGACTTGAGTATGACAGACAGTATTATTATGGATGGAATCAGAACCCTTGATGCTCTCCCAGATTGTGGATGCCCTCCAAGAAGGCGGTAAACAGAACCCGAGGTTATGAGAAAAATACTTGTTGAAGCCTCTACACCACCATTATGACAATGCTCATGAAGAAATGACACTAAAGTTTAACATTTTGGCAAAAAGTGAGGGGGGGGGGGGGGGGGGGGGGGACTCCACAACAACATAACATCTTTTCTGGCTGTGGCTCAGGAAGTGGAGCTGTTTACTAATCAGAAGGTTAATGGTTTGATCCCTGTCTGCATGATCGGGCAAGATACTGAACCCTAAAGTGCTCCAACGCTTGCATACACCTAAACATAGAAGGAAGTGCTTTGAGTGCTCAACCGGAGTAGGAAAGCACTGTATAAGAACCAGTCTTACAATCCTGCTATAGGTGCTCAGGGCCTGGAGGGCTTTCAGTCACTGAGATCATAATTAATTTTAAGACCACATCAAAATATTTTTTCAGTCATGTGTCACAGCAGGTGTATATGCCCTGAGGTAAGGAGAGGCTGGATGTTGAAACCAGACATAATGAACACAAGTAAATCAACAACAGAATGGTTGAACGAGAAGAAAACTAATGCTATGGAGGCCAAATCAGAGTCGTGACGCTAACCCAACTTAAGCTTATAGCCTTAGTAATAACAGGCCTCATACATCATGTACGTTTCAGGGAGGATTAAAGGCTCCAATCGAAACCCTGAAGAAGACACAAGTTTGCCTTTTAACGAGGCTTACATGAAAAGATCAAACCATATCTCATAAAGAAATTTAGACTGATTCAAAAACGGTTTCTTGTATAAATAATTAATATTTTCGGATTCTTAGGTTTGAACAATTTATTGAAACCTGCTTTCCAGATACAATAATCTGATTTTACGGCCTTTACATTACACCATGCATCGTTATAAACAAGCGAGAAGCCTCCTAATACTTTTGATTATTTCTATGTTATTTTTTATAGTTAAGAATTTCAGCTTTGATTAATAGAATTAGACTACTTCATCACTGCTACCGATAACAATATGGTGGATAATAGGTGTGTGTTATTGTTTTTTGCAGTCACGTGACTCTACAAAAGCCAGAAACTGGTCTTTAATTGGTATTATCTTCAGTTGACTTTTCCTAAAAATAAAAACAAACCACAAGACACTCTTAGCTGAAAATGTACACATTAACATCTCTTGCTCGAAAGTCTAATGCAGCCCGGTTAACTTCAGGAAGTGAGAAAGGTGAGAGCGAGATCTTTAGCGTCACGTATGGCTTTTTAAAAGTGTTGAACAAGATAAAAATGACTTACCGACGTCCACACCGGATGTATTAATCCCAGAGAGAGAAATAAAGAAGCTGCCAAAGATAGCCGCATGCTTTAGCTGAGCTGGTGTCCGCTTTGCTCTTCTCCGGAGCTGCCTGCGAAGGTGTTTTTATTGAACTTCCAGCTTCTCCCGGTGTCACTGTGTCCAAATCCCGCCCACCAATAAAACACACGTTAACTGTAGCTGATAACAGGTGGCAGGGCTCATACGCTGGAGTCTGTACATAAGACAGACCCCTGGGTAAGAGCAAATAAATGAATAAAAAGTTAATTAATAAATTAACCTACCGTAGGAGGAAATAAAAGCAAAACTGTAATTTGTTTATTCGTGCTGTAGTTTGACCCTTAAAACTATCTTTTTATCTATCATATCGCGTGAGGATCCTGTTGGCTTTGTATAAAAAAAAAAAATCTATTTAACCAAAACTAAACTTAAAACTAAAACTAGATGTAAAAAACGAAAAAACAAAAAACATTTTAGTTAACTAAAATGGTAGTAATAAGAAATCTGAAAAAAAAAATTAACTAAAATGATTTTTTGAACTTGGAAAAACGAACTAAAATGAAATAAAAATGTAAGGGAAACATCGCTACTTTCCCTATCTGTCTGTTTGTTAAAAACATTGATTACAATGAGTCCTAATAAGTCATTGAAAAACATGTTTGCTGTAAATACTATGACACACTATGAGTCACCTGCTTTCAGAAGACTTTTACAGTAATACCTGTACTTTACTTGAAATTTTCTTAGACTTTTTTTACACCGAGTTTCGGCTCAGATTCCTTTCTGAGAAACTCTCCGTTGATTGATTTTTATACTTAATCATGTAACTGACATGTTTCCAGTTAACCTAATTAGTTGAAAAATGTTCTCTTTTTCAGTATTTTTCAAGCATTTTGTGCACCGCGAACCAACTTTTTTGAGATGTGTTCCTGCCGTCAAATTCAAAATGAGCAAATATTTTTCACAAAATAATAAAATGTGTCATTATAAACATTTGATGTTTTCTTTGTTTGATTATTAATAACACATGGCTTTATGAGTTTTACAAACCATTGCATTCTACTTTAATTTACACAACATCTAAACATTTTGGGGCCTGGGGTTGTACTTCCACGCATCATTTATTCTGTTATTTCATGCCTAAACTCCTTCTCAAACATTCATGTGCTCTTAAATGATGAATGCATTGAGTGTCCAGCCCAAGGACACTAAATAGTAGTCTCTTATCTACCTAGCTACGGCTGCCCCAGCATCAATCCACCTCAGAAAAGAAGTGCTCAGTGCTTCATAGGAAGTCCATAAGCAATTTGAGACTATAGCAGCATAACTAAGGGACTGTTCAGGGTCACCGGATTCAGAGTGGGAGCTGTTCTACATAAAAAGGACCTGAAGACTTGTAACTGTAGTAACTAAGACCAAGGCTGGAAACTGAGATAAATGCCAAGATATCTTTAAGTCATTCAGCATTTCATACGTGAGGAGGAATATAAATGTAACTTTTGATTTACCACAAAGCTGATGAAGAACAATACAGGAGAGGTACAAGTTCCCTTTTAACTTCTGCAGCTGCTGCGTTTTCAGTGAAGTGAAGGCTTTTTAATTGTTTTGGAAAGCAGAAATTAATGTTAATCTTTCCAACGCAGTCTGGCACATACTGATACAAGTGGATGAGGACGTACCCCGCCTCTCGCCCTATGAAAGCTGGGATAGGCTCCAGCAACCCCCGCTACCCTGAAAAGGATAAGCGGAAGCAAATGGATGGATGGATGGATGTAAACCAACTTTTAGGCACTTATTTCACCATTAGTTTAGAATCCAGTGTCTTGAAAGGATTATAAAAATCATTAACATATAAGGAGGAAAAAAACAACAAAAAAAAAACAACTCGGCAATAATTAAGGTCAAATGTTAGAAGAACAGTTTAATCATACAATGTCACAATTCTGCTTCGAAAAAGGAGTTCGTTTTCTTCATCTAACATCTGGAAATGTACATAAGGCCACCTGAAAATGTACATGACTTTGACAGTGTGACAAAACTCATATGTTCATATTTATATAATTGACAATATTTTACATTGCTTTTGCTTACAAGGTAGTAGCTGTTTCAAAATACAGCACTCTTCTGTACAAAAATAATTCTCGTCATATCCTGTGAAGTTTCCATGGTAGCAGAGAGGACTAAATGCAGCCTCGATTTTAGTACAGAGTGTTTCTTTTTTTCCTTTTTCTATTTTTTTAAACTGTCACACATCAGAAAGACTATCAACAGTGGATGTTACAGCTTCAGTACAAATAGAGGCTGGCCCAGAACAGATTTAAAAACAAAAACCATGCCAGATTGTGAAGCTATTAAGTTTTCATTTCCTTTAAAATAACACTTGATCAAATAAAACCTGTATACATTATATTCAAGGGGAAAGGAGTGATGAATATACACACATCTAAATGCACATTAGCCTTTTTCTCCCCCCTCCAAAGAAAAAAAAAAAGAAAAAAGAAAAAGTGTAAAAGACATCCCATTTACAGCATAAACGTTTACAAATGTACAACTGTACAGACAAATAAAAGCATCACTACAAATTTAGAGCAAGGCCTGTCAAACACCACAACTAGACTTTTTTTTAGTGAAACTAATAATCTTACACTTATTAACTGCACATATACTACATTTATTCTACAATTCATATGAAGCAAAGAAGCCGTCACTACGAGCGTTACAGGTGAATTGTATAGCTTTTGATGGCCCCACCGGCCTCCGCCAATCCACTTACATACCCAAAGAAAAAAAGAAAAAGGTTCTTTAAGCATCCCTTTCTTCAGCTACGTCTAATTTATTTCACCTCAAATGTACAAAACTGACCAAATTCCAGAAATAAAATAATAATAATCTTTTGGACTGCTCTGACCTTCAGGCGGTGGGGGTTCCCATCACTGCTGCAAGCCCCTCAACCAAAAAAAGAGCAACAATTTTCTCATACATAAAGATGCTATACATTGCTCAACTACTTCTACACACACACGAGATGATTATTCAGTACATAAAGATACTGTTTTCTAGGGCAGTGTTCATCTCAAACTACAAGACAGATAAGATGTTACACAAAACATAAAGGAGAAAAAAAAAAATCATTCTAAGGATTAAAACCTATTACAGCATGCCAACGCGTACCCCACTCCCACCCTGCTATCCCTGCAAAAAGCCCCACCCCACCCAAAGCTATGGTCATTTTATGTTAATATTAAACCAGGTCATACGCCCGCTGTACAACCAAACCTCATGCTCTGCTTCTTTAAGTTAAATGGTAGCGTTTTACTTCCTCCTGCATAAAAAAAAAAAATCAAGTGATCGCCTGCATGAGGGGAGAGTAAGACGGCTCAAATGGTGCTCGGTGGATGTAGCAGCTCAGTCTGTCAGTACCAAAACATAATGCAGGCCACGAGCTGCTGGAGTAACCAAACACGCACACACTCCCGCAAAGGGTGGGGAAAAAACAAAAGAAACAAACAAAAGAAAAAACGAGGCAAGAAAAAAACAAAAAAACAAACCACCACTGGCAAACGCTACCCTAGAGTAAAGCACCAATCTCCAAACCCCGAGCTGGCAAAGCGGCCTCAAAGACCTCTGGGTGACTGTGGCACGTGACGCATAGTACTCGCTTGTGGATGGAAGGATTTCTGTCCATCCATACTATGTGATGCTATTTGAAAACTAATCCATCAGCTGCTTTGGCATGGGAAAACACTTTTTTTTCCTTTTTCTTTTTTCTTTAAACTGTGTGTGGGATAATATACAAATATTATAATAAATTGCCTAAGCTTAATAAGAACAGCTGTCTGTTTACAAAAACAAATGGAATCGTGTTTTAAAAGGATCACTCAGTTTAGCCTTTATAAAGTCACTTGCTGGTGTTAATTGTAAGAACTGTAAATTTCAGCAAATGTGTAATAATTTCTTTTTCTACAGAGAATTTACAAGGTAAAAAACTAAATGTACAAGATAATATGAAAACCAGTCAAATACATCAATTACATCATTAACAATGGGCTTGTGCTTTACCCAGGGAAAAAAAAGAAAAGAAAAAAAAAAGGAGGAAAACAAAAGAAAAACAAAAAGAATAAACAGCCTGCTGACTGTGCACCCCCTGGGGGCCATGCTGGGGACCTGCACCAGGGGTGGCAGAGTGGCAGGGGTCAGTTGTCACAGCGTTCTTAGGTGAAGTTGACTTGTCTTGTTTTTTTGGTAACTTGCCCCCCCATTTGATGGGATAACAGAGGGTGTCAAAGGCTAACCCCTATGGCTAAGGAGCACATCTCAGACAGAACAGGGGGTTTGGGGCTCCTACTCCTCCACTTGTTCAGGGGACCTGGGATGTGTACGTGACTACAGCAGACCATTCGCGGGACCGCCGATTGGACCCAGTTCAGATCCACTCTTCATGTAGTACTTCTCTAGCTTAGCTAGAATGTGCTTCCCGTAGGTGTACTTACGCAAAGTGGCAATGTGAGGCCGGATCTAAATAAAGAAGAGAAGAAGATAAAGGCATTTAAAATCTGAAGAAGCTCAAATGAGTTTAAATCTGGAAGTAGGGGTAAAGAATGGGCATGCTTTTTAATAATGGGTAGCATAATTTACAAAATGCATATCATGTTACATTAAGTAAGTCTTGAAACTGCTGATGGAGATTGTGTATGTAAAAGGGTTACTGAATTCATGAGTTAAGTGATTTTCTTGCAGTAATCTACAAAAATTTCTTAATTTTGGAACCACAGGAGTCGCCACCTGTTGGCCAGCAGAAAGAATGCAGATATTTTGGCAAATTTTTGGCACCCAAGCTATATTGTTCTTTAAAAAACAAAAACAGCATTAACTAGTTTGATGTCAACACAAGAGCCTTGACAAAAGCCTGCACTGATGTACACAAAGAGTAATGTAAAATATGTAAACAATGGACACAATGCTGGCAGATAGATACGGAAGTGCACACCCTAGTTATTACTTTGTTTTCATGCAAAATACAATCGCTGTACACATAATGGCACTGATAACATGACTAAAAACAGGTCTTTCTGGTCATATTTCACATATCAAGGGTCCTTGAAAGCACCAACACAGGCACTTGTTTGAACTTGGGCTGTTTCATGATCTGAATGAGCTGTCAACCCCCTGGATACCACTGATAAAACTTCACAGCTAAACTTTTACCAGCCAAGTCGATTTGACCACTTGTCAGAAACAGATTAGACTTTTTAAGCTTTGCTAAACCTTACAGAACACTGATAGAATTCACTGGATCAAATGGACCACGATCCACCCACTATCATTAACACTAACATGAGCACATTTAGTAGGCGACTCACCTTGTGCATGATGATTTTACGCTGAGCAGGTTCTGCCATGTCGATCATTCTTTGGACAACGTAGTTGGCGTACTGGTCTTTCATCATGGTGTACAAAGCGCTGTGGGGCCCGTCTTTCTGGCAGCACACTTCATCTATCAGCAGAGCTCTCTCTGCACGCGAGGAGTGGATCACACACTTCTCCACCACATTACTGGGGGAAAAATAAGCTACTGTTACTCAAGTTTATAACTGAACAGATGGAAGCAGAGAGATGCCAGCATATTAGAATCATTTTCTTTTGTTTTTGGCATCACGTGGTATGTATGCATGTGTGTTAGCAAACTGTAATTATTGGGCACAGTGGACTGGATAAGTGTTCAAACAGCTCAATTCGTTTAAGGTTTTGCTGACCCCAACTGTGAGGCAAGGGCAGGTTGTTAATGGGGTAAACTTGAATTTGGGAAATATAAAGGAGGATTACTATGACCTAGTTTTACACCTGACACGTGCAGGAACAGGTTATGTTTGATAAGAAAACAACATGTACAACATTACCACCTACTGACTATAGAAAATTCCAGTTAATCCTCCACTGGACCATCCCAATAACAGCATCTAGTTGTTAGAGTGTCTAAGCCCTTTGTCTATCAGCTTACAATCTACCAGAGACAGGTTTTTAGGAGAGGGGACCACTATTCCAAGCTTAATTTTTTTTCCCCCTGTTGGCTAACAGGATCAGTTTTACACAGCAATTTATTCCTAAAGCTGAGAACATTTATTGATTAGAATTCCAAACTTTTTCCAAAGAAATGAAACATGAAACACAAAACTCTAAACATATGCAATGATGGCCCACTGAGTCAGTCTTACCCACTGCTCCATGTTACACTAAAGAGGATATTAGTCATTTACACATTCTTACAGCACTTTTCTACAAGTTACAAGGATCATTTTTCCCATCAAACACTCATACACTTGTATAGTGCTGTTTAATTGCAGCAGTTATGTTAAGTTTGTGAGCATCTTATTTTTTCCTAATATTACAGCTCATCTTTTAAATGTATAAAATATACCACTCTGCTGCCAGCAGACATGTATTTTTACAAATTGGCAGCACACACCACCATTTTTAATGGTAGCAAGACTGGAAAACCTTGTATTACGAAACAAGTAGACAACCACTTTTGTTTAACTACAGGAACTGAACGTGGAAGTCGTTTTGTAGTACTGGCTACCAGTAGAGGATTTGCCCTCATCTTTTGGCACCTCCCTTTAAAGATCCCCACAGTGGATCATCTGCCTCCATCTCGCCTACTTAGCCAACATCCTTTGCCCCGCATATTCACAATTATCGTGAGCCATATAATTAAATTACTCAAACTAATATAAATTAAAGGTCCAAAGTCGGCCTAAAGTCATGTTTGCTCACTGACAAACACATCACATCCACAAGAGCGAAAACCAACATGACCGCCATAACAACTCGTGCAGACACATTTAGTTCAACATAGACTTGTCTTTTAAAATATCTACTTGCCTAATGTACTCACATTAAGAAAGCACTTTTCTATTCTTATGGACCACTCAAGGCACTTCACTGCATATCTCATCTTAACCAAGCATTCAATCATAATTTTATGCTATACACTTCAAGCACTGTACCTGCCTAAAATGAATATCTTCAGAGTGTGAGAGGAAGCTCGAGGAAACCCATGTAAGCACAAGGTGAACTTACAAACTCCATACAGCAAGGCCTGAGCCAAACCGGAGATTCACTTGTTGTGAGGTGATAGCAGTAACCACTGTACCATCATGCCACCGCCTATACATTACAAAAGAATTTACTCCAAGCTAAGCAAATGGACACTTGCCCTGGACAATCTCTGCTTTGAAAACAAAGAAACCTAAAATTCAGCATTCCCATCCTACTCGACTCAAGAAAGATCTAGGTTATGAACTTCCTGCTATTGTTACCACATGGTTACTGATAAATTATCTCTTATCAGGTCCAAACGTGAGTCGTTAAACTGCATGTTATAAACCTACTATTAACCGGTTTTTACAAATGTAAACACTCGAAAGATGTAGCAGAACAACAACAGCGTATCGACTGATCTTCAGATGATATGCATCAACTTATGTTCCTTAGTTATGCTAGTGCAAATCACTCACATCTCTGTCCTCACACCAGCAGAAGTGTGAAGAAACACAGCTGCTCTAATATTGACAGTAATGTGAGTGCTTTCCCTCCCACAACAGAATATTTATTTATTTTCACAATCATTTCACGAAATTAACTTTAGAATATTCACGGTCTGCCCTGTTAATGTCAAAATCCGCAAACAATATACAGCCCACTCTTAATCCATACAGACTGCTTAGTTTACCTTGCAAATTTATGCTGGCTCAGGACAAGAACCTTCCCGCGCACCTCTGCCACTATCTTGCTCTTATCTTCTGGTCTGCCATGCTCCAAAACATGCTGAATGACGTAGTTACCGTACTGATCCTGCAGGAGGCAACAGAGGTGTAAGGGCAAGGCAAAGTCATCCCAACAAGATTAATCACAACAACAAAAAAACAAACAAACTGTGAGATACAACTGAACATGATTGATACTCATGCACTACTTTTTCACCCCCATTGGCCTCGATTGATAAGGTAATCATGCAACTCTACAATGATTGGCCGATGAATGAGCGACACCTCCATTTGTAGTATTTCGAATACCCTTACGTCATCACTGCGGAAGGTCAGACAAAACAGATGCTGCTGGTTTGTGTTGCTGACCAGGTAACACAACCAATAGCATCTTTGCCCCTTCAGAAACGGGTGATAGACAGTTACGGGTGTAATTTTAGTGCGGCAAGATGGAGACAAAAAATGAACTGACCAAACAACAAATAACACCACTCAACTGCCAAGCTTGTTAAAGTGGTAATTTGTTGAGTAGGTAATGCGAACTCCACCTTTAAATTTGAAGTATTTGCCTCCCAAACCATTTTCTGTCAATCTGTTTTAACATGAACTTGCATTATGTTGGTTTTAAAACACCATTTGTGAACTATTTGGTTATAAGAGTTTCAAACTCCTAGATTTGAATCAAACAATTATAATTTTAGCAAAATGAGAATTAAAAAAAAAAAAAAAGAAAAAAAAAGAAAAAAGGGAAAAACAGACTGATCAAAAAATGCTGTAGGCAAAAGAGGGATCATCAGACAGCAGATTAGCATGTCCCTAAATCCTCTGGCATAAAGCAAGAAGGGAGGAAAAAGGAAGAACAGGCAGCTCAGTGGGTTAGGAAAGGACCATAAGGGTTGGGAGTTGGAAAACTATTTAAATGTTAAATTAGATTCTTTACAGAAGAAAAGATTAAAAAAATAAAGAGGGAAAAAGGAAGTGAGCACAGGGACATCCGCGATAGAGGCAAATTGCTCTGACCTTGAACAGTGCATCACGGGACACTGTATAATATGTTTTGGGTGTCATCTCCAATGAAACGCCTTGATATTTCTAGATGGAATAAGTGAGGGGGGCAGGTGGATGTTTAAATAATCACATATGTCAGATGTAATGTCAGCTAACAGCACAATTACATTCATCCTTACACTTAGCAGACCACAACTACACAGGAACAATGACAGGCTAAAAATATGAAATGTTCAAACATGAAGGACGCATGCAAATACGCGACATAAAATGATAAATGTCAACAACGATCAGTCGCAGCTAGCAAAAATAAGGAAGTTTAAAATGGGACAGAGAGGAAACTGATGTGCACACCTGGCCCAGCTGTTCAGAGTGCTGATGAAGCTCTTCCAGGATGGGCAGAGTTTGCTCCTGGGTGCAGTGCTCCAAGATCCTTTGGATAACTCTGCAGCCATAGGGGTGTGTGGAAAGTACAAAAACCTAGAAAATAAAAACAGTGCTTATTGTACCATGTAGTGAAAGAACATCAGAGGATTTAGATATTAATGCAACCCTACAGCTCACATGAGTCTACAAAAAATAAATTATACTGAATGGTAGTTACGTTATAAGGCAGCTTATTGTATGGCAGCTATTCTAAAAAACAAAAACAACAAACACTAAAAAACAAAATAATAAAAACCCACCTGTCCTTGGAAGGCATCAATAATGAACTGAAGAGCCTGAGGCTGGACACATTCAATGCACTTCTGTACCACATGGTTCCCATTCTGGTCTTTCACACACTTCAGCACATGGCCGTCAAGCTCACGGACAATGTCGCTCTAAATGGAAGAAAATGATATCAAATTAAATCAAAGCCTTTAATATGAAGGACGAATAAAATGCTTTTCAATAGAAAATAAAACTGTTATAAAGAAGTGAAATCTCACTTACAATTACCTGCTGGTCTGAGGAAATTGACTCCAGGGCTTTCTGAATGACCCTGCAACCATACATCTGCAACGCCAGGGGAAGGACGTGTCCGCGGATACGGGTCGCTAAAGCAAGTTTCTGTTCTGCACTTCCAAACTGAGACAACATAAAAAATATATTATATATGCCGGAATCTATTACAATATGAGAGTAATTTATTATAAATGGAATCGAGTTTAGTTTATACTGTGCAGTTACTCAAAAGACACATGGATGAACTTTAACACTCCCAACCTCAAAGAACTTTTGGATGACATAATTCCCAAATACATCAGTCATCAGTTGGTATGCTGCTTGCAAAATCTCTCCAAACACCATCTGTCTCTCAGCAGGAGTGGCCCTCTCTAGCTTCTGCTGGATAAATCTAGATTGGAGAAAGCAGGGAACGATTAAAAAGACACTTCAAAGAGTGGACTCATTATAAAAAGTGTAACACTGCAATGTAGTTTTTTGCACGTTTTCTTTTTTGGCTAAGGCTTAAATTTACGAGACCTAAAAGAAATGCATTATTTCCCAAAAGCCTATATATTTAATTGTGCGGTGGCATTTTCAAGCATTAAATTAGGTCCGTCACCTGGATCCGTGCTGGTCTTGAGAGAACTCCACCATGTGTCCAGGCAAGTCACGGAGCTGGAGGTTTGGAAAACGGTTGTTCCTGAAGTCTTCCAATAGGCGGCTGCGTCCAGATGGCATGACATCAGAGCGGCTGTAGCGGGGCCGTGAGGGAGGGAACAACTGGCTGCTGGAATTGAACAGACTGGACGTGCTGCCTGTGCTCCGGTATTTGGCCTCGGCTCCGGGAGCTGCAGAAATGTAACGGCCACTGCCATTTGTCAGGCCACCTAGGATTAAATAAGACAATTTTTAATATTTCATTTACAAGCATCAATTTCACTGAAGGTGCCCCTAACAGGGGATGACAACTTAAAGTTCTATTCTATTTAAGTCACATCCTCACTTACGAACAGGATCAAATGCTTCTTTATTTTCTACCTCAAAAGCAACAGTCGACCAAAAGGTAAACATCCCTTCTTTAGGCTTACCTAGGTGAAGGCTTGAAGAGGATCCATGGGAAGAGGGCAAAGATGGCGGAGGAGTGAGTGGGGAATGACCTGGTGTAAGGCCAATGGGGCTGGGTGAAGAGGAGTAACCCAGGCTGTTATAAAACGGCTGCCCAATGGGAGTTAAACTGCTGCCACCTCGTTTGTATAGGTCAGAACTTGCCAACAGGGAATCCCTGCGGGATACACTGCTACTGGTCGAGCTGGATACTGAAAAAAATCATAAACAAAGCACTTTTAGAACACAAAACTTAAATTTAACACAAGACCATTTTCCTCTCCAAGCAGCACGTTGTTTAGCCACTGACCAGAAGAGCCGAAACCCCCAAGAGCAGAGCCCAGGCCAACGCCAAGAGATCCGCCGGTGCTGCTGAAGCCCAGGGAGGAGCTTGGGGGTGGTGGGGCAGCAGAGGTGTGAGAGAAAAGAGAGCTGCTCTGAGAGGTGTTGGGGACTGATCCAGATCCGTAGAATGAGCTGGAGGGCAGGCCGCTGCTGGGTGGAGGAGCCTGCTGCTGCTGTGGCTGAGGTTGAGGCTGAGGCATGGAGCGGTACAGTCCGTTGGCTGGAGGACCAGACATGTTGTTACCGGAGCCAGATGCAGACACTGCTGCTGCTGATGGAGAGAGATTATTGTGAGAGGTCAAAAGTGAGGAAAGATCACATGAGTGGTACTAATCAAGTAAGAATAGAAAGAAGTGGGTGTGCGGGACAGACATTATAGTAGGCATATCTAAGAAGAAAAAAAAAAAATCCCATCTCTATTAATAATACACACACACATCATTTGCACAACACACCACACAGAAGCGCTCATTAAGTTATCATTTTGAGAAGAGGACATCTATACAAATCAGATCGCTACATGTGTGCATGCAACTGTGCCTACTCAAAACAGCAGATCTGGCAGATTGCTAGAGAACTGCTAAGTGGGTGAAGTCGTTTTACCATAGATAAACACAAATGACAAGCTCAAATATAAACAAATAATAAAAAGCAGAATTAAACATAAACATATTCAGCTATTTTTGGGAGAGCCACTTTTGCATTTTAAACCATCAGCGTGAACACACTTTGTAGAAGCTGGGACTTCTTGGCTGAATCATTTTTTCCACCTATATTTAAAGGTTACTGCTTATGTGTGGTGATTAAACTCGGGGTAAGAGGCTTGGGAACATATTAAAGTAATGAATTTATTCACTAAAATAGCTAAATGAAACATTGCTCGGTGTGTGTCCTCCCCACACGCAGAGTAGAGACAGCAGTGTGTAACTGCAGGAGACAAACACTGCGAACAGACCAAATTTAAACCAAACTATGTGATCTGCTTATCTGATCAACGTCACATTTGGTTTTGTGAAGGTGTCAGTGGACAAAATAGGAGACATAGTCCACAGGAGATGGAGAGTGATCTTTTTAGAGATTTGAATCAGATAAAATACAGTCACCGAATTCCAAATAATCATCTCTAATGCAATTAGATTAGCTAAATGTGAGTTATATAGTGCCAAATCACAACAGTTACCCCAAGGAACTTGAATGCAATGTAAAAACCCTACAACAAACCATCCACAGATCCCCTCTGAGCAAACAGTTGGTGACACAGGAGAGGAAAGAATTCCTTAATTAAAACAAATGTTTTAAAAAATTCCTACCAGCTTGTGCCGCTGCATGGTTGATAAGAAGTGGGGTTTGGACTAGACGAACAGGCCCACCCAGACCGGTGCGGGCACCAGGGCCCATTACCAAAGCTCCAGTCTGGTCATAGTAAGCTGCAGGGGCCAAAACCTGATAACCTGAGGAAGAAACAAGACACACAAAGAGGAGAGAGTTAGTAATTACAGTTTACTACTACTACACAACATACTTGGAGTGTTGTTAGAAACAGTGTTTCAGTATTTTGTAACTACTACTCACACACTGTATACACTTAATGTGAACCAATAAGGGAAAAAAAAAAAAAAAGTATTTGCTTGTGAGTGTCTTTGGCTACATTGCAGTATAGCATAAGTATGAAATGGTAGACCAACCAGGCATTCCTGTGTATGCCAACGCAGGGTTTGCAGCAGCTGCTGCAGCTAGGGATTCCTGCTGGCTTTGCTGGCCTTGCCCAGGTGTAAGAGGTCGCTGGTTGGTTCCAGTGCGCATCACCTGGCAGAAACGGTTAAAAATACTGTTACTGGCTTTGTACTGAAAGGGAAGCAATCTCAACTTGTTGTCACAACAAGTGACTAAATGAGGAACAGCTAAAATATAGCTAACGTGTTTTACCACGACTGTGTGGTTTGATCAGACGTCACGAGTTGCTTGGAAACATATACAACCAACCCCAGGACAGTTCTGAATCAAATGCACAACTGATGGATCTACGCCGCAGAAGCCCCGCCCACTTTTAACTTTTCTAAATTTTAACAGCAGGTCTTCATGGATGACTCATTTTCAGGGTCATCCTGTCATCATAAACATTCTGCACATGATAACTGGTCACAGACAGATGACTGAAACCAAATCCTGACGCACATTTTTCATACAATCATACGAGGCCAATGAAGTAGGGAATTAATACTGGTTAGAGAAATTATTCCTACCTGTGGTTGCCCTGGCCCTGGCCCTTGACTGGATGCTTGCTGATTGGCCGAGTGATTGGCAGTAGATGCAGGCTGCTGCTGGAAAAGATTAGCTGGGTACACACCCCAAGGGACGCCGTAGTACTGTGGTGGAACAACTGTGGGGCCTGGAGGAGGGGAGAGGGAAAAAAAAAAAAAAAAAAAAAAGAAGAAAAAAACCCCCACACATCTGAAGTTATACATTGGATCTGGGCAGAAGATAATCAAGAGTAAAAGAAATAAAATAATAATGATCTGTTGGATTTCAATGAGAACTTGCGGATGAACATGTGCCATGTGATCACCTGCAAGCGTTGCTGCTGCTGCCAACCCAGCAGCAGTGTAGGGATCAGCTCCAGGTGGGGCAGCATTAATGATGTAAGGGTTTGGCACAAACGCAGGAGCAAGGCCAGCTGAGTAACATGAGGAAGAACAACAATATAATTCTCATTCAAAAGTCTACGCAACTCAAACAGAGACAACCTGAGAGACAAAGCAGTTAAACAATACTGCAAAAGAATCTGTCTCACCAAGATGCTGCTGCTGGGCTGCAGCCAGTGCATATTGTTGCTGCTGAGCTGCAGTGAGCTGTTGAACAGTCAATGGATTAGACCTCTGGAACAACTGGAAAAAAATAAATAAATAAAAATCAACAAACTGCTCACAACCTGCAGAGCAAGCTACCAAACAGACTTTGTGCATTTAACAGACCTGCTGCTGAGAGTTGTAGTCAAACAATCCAACTGGAGTCCCTGAAGAGTCCACCTGAATCTGATTACCAGCATAGTCAAATTGTAAGGACTCCACACCAGCTTGCTGCTCCATACCGCCCATGTTCTGGGCCTCCTGGTTCTGGAAATCCTCAGCTTGGACCTTGTTTTGGGAGGGGTTCTGCTGTTGGAGAGCATGAGGGTGGTGGTGCTGCCCCATCATCTCCAAACCTGTCTGACTGGGACCCATCCTCTCCACAGCCTCAGTGGGAGAAGCTTGACGGCTTCCAGGAGTTGGGCTAAAAGAACAAAAAAACAAAAACAAAAAACAAGTTGAGTTTAAAAAGGACCACCATATTTATACACAACTGTTATTTGGGGGCAAAACAAAAGTCTAAAAACCCTCAAATCAACTTATAAATGTTCATATTTACACCGTCTGATATTTTATATTTAGTTTTTAACTGAAAAGCTATATATACTATATTAGAGATAACCAGTAGAAAATGGAAAAAATGTTAACTTGTACCATTGTAAAAGGAAAACCTACTTGAAGTCTTTACAGTCTCTGTCCATGCCGTTCAGCAGACCTCTTCCATTGGCTTTAGTAGGATCACTCTCCTCTCCCACCTTCATCTCAGGGCTTTTGTCGTCTTCAAAAGGCGACACCTTCTCTTGCGCATCACTTTTCTCTCTCCCATCTTGGTCAGCATCTCCTGCACCCTGTGTAAATACGAAAGACAGAAAAACATTTAGACAAAGAAATGCAATCTCCACTTTTGGTAAGATCGATGAGATGCATGAGTTTGGCTTACATAGCCTCCATTCCTGTAGCGGCCATCCATCTTGTCACCAGGGGACGAACTCAGGACGTACTCCACCATGCTCACGCCGAGACCTCCGCCTTCTGAGCGAGGTGAAAGCACAGAATTGGCATCACCATTGCCATGGAAACCCTGGCCTGGCCGTCGCTGCACCATGATTGGCTGAGACACTGAATGATCTGAACGAAAAGTCGTAATCAAATACAGTGGCAAGCGAAGTGAACCCGTGGAATTACATGTTCTTCTGCGTTCACTGGTCAGAAAATCTGATTTGATCTTCATCTGAGTCACAAGTAAACACAAACGTGATGTTTGACCCAAACAATCTCTTATGTCCTTCTTAGAAGGACATAAGAGGTTTTTCCCTATGTTAATACTGTCCATATGTACATAGCGCTGCAGAACTGTACCACCCCCCCCAGCATGTTTACACTGAGTAGGAGATGCTCTGTATCTCATTGTTGTCACTATACAGTTGTATAGTGACAATAAAGGCATTCTATTCTATTCTATTAAAACTTTAGATTGCTGGTAGAAAAAGTAAGGGAACCCTTGGATTTGACAAGTGACTGAACCTCCTGTGGCAGCAGTGATTTCAAAGGTTTTCTGCAGCCACAATCAGGAGGAAGTTTGAGTCATTCTTCTAGAATTGTCTCACTTCAGCCATGTTGTCAGGAATGAATCTCTAGCGTGAATTATCCTCGAGGTCATTCTTCAGCACCTCTATTAGATTAAGAAACTGGGCTCTGACTGAACCGTTAGACCTTCTTCTTGTAAAAGGAACCTATTATACTTTAGCTCATTTTCAGCCATATGTGAATGGGCACAATGGTCAGTGCTCATAATAAACATGCCTATTTCAAATAATCAGCTACGGTTAGTAAGTAATCCCTTAATGCCATACGCTCAGGATTCAGACTGTTCTAAATGGTTAATTTCATTTTCCCCCCACTCTTAGCTCTGTGTGAGGTCACTTAGAGCAGATGTGCTTAATATGGTCATCTCATGCACACATATCTGGCTGCAAGCTCAGCAGCTCCACTCACCTGCTGTTCTAACCATCCGTTTACGAGGGACAACCAATCAGATAAATGTTGGATAAAAAGGGACAAATGAGATAAATGAAGAATAATTTGAACTCAGGCAAAGGAAGCGCAGGCTTTACTTTGCAGTTTAGCTACATCATTCAGTACTGCAGTAGTGCTGTAAAGGATCAAAGTACTCCTTTAGCAAATATCAGGCAAGGTTTTATGGACAGCAGTGGCGTTCTAACCAGCGATTTAACTACCCATCATGTCCACGCAACGATTGTGATTGGCCTGTTCAGTACTGCCGATTCTTCCTGTGCATATCCAGCTGCTTTTTTGCTGTAGTTTCTTAATTCATCAGTGAGAGAATAACTGTCATCACTTCAATATAAGGAATAATGATCATAGCATCAATGTAAGGATTCACAAATGTCTGCAAATTCCTGCAGGCAGGTTGTTGAACCTATCAGAATAGATGTGAGGGAATGCAGCAGGTGAAAAAAAAAAAAAAAAAAAAAAAAAAAAAAAAAAAAAAAAAAAAAAAAAACTTGAGTGGGAATTAAAGACGGGACAAAAAGCCCCACCATTTTATTGGTTTCTATTGGATGACTCCGCATACAAATGACTAGGACATAACCATGAGGTAATCCGCACAGAATGTATTTTGCACAAGTGTAAATGCCGCCAATGAAGTCAGGCACTTACACAGGCTACACCACAGGCTCTACAAACACTCACTGCAGATCAGAATCAGTCCTTACTGTCCTAACCAGGAATGATTTATAGATGGTATTCGTGAAGGGAGATGTTTACCATTTTCTAACATAGCCTAGTCAAAATGCACCATGATATATAATTGAAAATAATTGTGTGTGTGTGTGCAATTTCAACAAAAAATAAAAAAGCAGAAAAAAAACCACCCTGGTTTGTTTATAATTGTAACTCAGATGAAGATCTGACCTGATTTTAAGACAAATTCCAAAGGGTTCACTTGCTTTTTCTTGCCACTGTATTTATATCATTCTAATAGTATTTATATCAAAACGTTATAGCTGGCAGGCACCTGTGAAAACTGAGATATTCCATTCCCAAACACATGACTGGAACAGATATCTTAACCACATATGTAATAATTAATTAATTAATTAGAGAAAAGACATTTTAGAAGACACTCACGAGATGATCCCCATGCATTGTCTCTCCACTCTTCTCCAAGAAGCATTCCTTTCCTGCCATCTTTGGCCAGCTCATCAGAATCCCAGAGCTTTTTTGCTGGCAAAAGCTAAGAAAAAACATAAACAGCGTTTCTGAATGGTGTAGAAAACCATTTGCATTTATGATTCCAAACTGCGAGTGCAAAGGGAGACGTATTTTCGACTCCATATGTGAATGAGATGTTTGAGAACAGAATGTTTTGAGGACAAGTTAAACTCACTAATAATTAATTGGCATAATTGGAAGATATCAGGAGAAATCACTTAATTGAACAATCTAAGCTTCAATTAGACTGTATTTGTACACAGACATGGGGAGTCACTGACTACTAATTCATAAGAATTTTTTATTGACATAGGATTCAAATGTTTATTATTTAGTGTAAGTTGGACTAATTACCTATTATAGACACTAATTACCTATAATTGGGGCTATTACACTCAAGACCTTTGAGCAACTCTCAGTTAACTTCAAGTCAGTTCAATAATGCTTTTCTAAAGAATCCGTACAGGTTTTCTGCTTCAGACTCCTCTTAAAACAGATTAAATTCTAACTGGAATCTTTTTCCCCCTAGAGTGCTCTGGCGAGGCAAACAAGTCAATGACCCAATCCACACTGCCAGGAAAAAAGGCTGGTTGAGCTTGAAGATTTCTAGGAAAGTCGTGCCAAGTTTTATGACCATTGTTAACAAGATTTGTCATTAGTAAGAAAGTCAATGCTGCAATTGATGCTTTAACCAAACACCAAGTAAACAATTTATTTGCTTAAGCGAACCGGCTATTTTAGTCTTCTTGTTTCATAAAATGAGAAAAACACTCCTATACAACACAGTTTTACCATCACTGTACACTGCACATAGATTTACATGCAGCAGCCTGGGGGGTGGGGGGGTCTGAGACATAAAATATGAGAAAATGTAACTACATCAGTGTAGCACACAGAGGAGCACAAGGCGTTTATCGTTTATAAAAAATTATTTGTAATAGCGTTAAGTCAAAAAGCTTTCAGAAAACCCTTTATTAGGAAAACAAACATTTATTGTTGTTCAGTTGTTTCTGTATTGTGCATATGCTTGCTAACAATAAAACAGGGACAGGTGAGGGTTTAATGGATTTCAATCAAAGGTAAGATGAACTAGTTTACAATAAATCTGTATTTTAAAGACTGTGGTGGTGGTGGTGGTGGTGGTGGTGCAAACATTGAAGCTTTAAAACTAATTCAGCATTTCTATAGTTTCTGTAAAATAGCAACCTGCGGATGTGTACAGTCACTTTTCAATTCTAGAGCGGCGGGGAAAGAAGAAAATAATTAAATAATAATCACAGAAAACTGTATAAGAGTGAGGAGAGTGAACGATATGCAGACAAAAACTGTTCTTACCTCTCCCATCCCCCTCGACTCCAAAGCAAGAGCTTGAAAATCATAGTTCATTTCATCCACTGCACGGACCTGAGACAGATTTAAAAAAAAAAAGGTTTTTCATGAACATTTTAAATTAAACAGCAATGATTTAACAAAATGTAAACTGTAAAATTGTACCTGCAATGCTAAAGAGTGCTTGTTGTAAGAATATGTGACAATTCAATAGAATACATAAACATTCATAGCAAAAAACTAACATTTATTCTTTAATCTGTGCAATTGTTTATACATTACATAACATTCTGGTTTTGTGAAATAAGCCAGACATGAATTATGACTTATACAGCATTTTGAATATGCTGTTAAGCCAATAAGAGAATGTTGTTTAATTCTCTTACATGAAATCCCAAAGCAAATAGTCCTGACTGTTCGACTTATGTTAAGGTATCTGACACGATCATTTAGCTTTGGTTATTGCATGACCGCCCCCCAGCCCACTATACACGATGTGTTAAGGAAAAATGAAAATGAAAATAAAAATCTGAGAAGGACCTTTTTAAAAAAACATTTTTAGACTAGGACCTATGCAGAGCTAAATACAAAAAAAACATCTGCACAGACTACACATGATGATTTATAAAGAGAGGCGATTACACTCGTTCTTCTGCAGGGCACAATAACTTGCTTGTATGAAACAGAATAGTTTGAATGAAGTTTGAAAGAAAAAAAAAATGAAATAACCTAAACACGAGACGGGGCTTTGTATGTAGCAACAAAAAAAGCTGCAGAGCAGCTTAAACTACTGTTGAGACAGGATGTGAGGTGTGGCTATTAAATGACAACACAAAGACAGGTTTTGAAATTAAAAGAGGATTGGTTTCCAGTGCACCATTGGCTTAACATTACTACAGACAGATTATAGACATTTCTCAATATATGGTCAGCAAAAAAGAAGCCACAGCTGTGGGAAAATATCTCCATCCATATCAGTATGCTGAGCTGTCCTAGTGAAGCCATTTCTGGCCAACTACATGTCAATCCTCCTTATTAATCTGATCCAAGTACCACGCAACTTTATTTATTTTCCTTCAAAATCACATTTGCGTTTAAGAGAAGCACTTCCAAGTCTGATCCAACAGTGTAGAATAAAACCATGAAGCCTCTTAGACCACTAATGGAAGAAGACTTACTACGCTGCTTTGATCACTGAAAGCCCCGAGTGCAGCAGTCTGTAGGTGCAGAAGGGGAATAATTTGAAGGGGAACAGAATTAAAAGACAAGCTTTCTTCATTAAAGTTTAATTGCAGCATTTATTTCATTATTTAATAACCACACTTTCTATTACAACTCTGGCTCAGTCAACATGGTGAGACTCACACCCCTGTTGTGCTGACACAATGGCCAAAACTATAATCTTGCTGATGTCTGTTGTAAATCAGAAGCAGTGCTATGGCTTTTTAATACTTGTAGTAACAGACTGGTGATCTCTGAAATCTGCACTCCAACCTTCACCTCACGTTTGACTGGGCAAACGGCTGTGGACAGACCTGTCTGTAACTCCAATAATGACAAAGTACTACATTTAAACAACAGATTGTTTACTTGCTGTTTATACCAATATAACAATCAGTGAAAATTGAGGACTTGTTCTGTCTGGTAATTATACTAAACTGCACATCACCGCATGCCTTAGCTCAGTAAAACAAAAAACAAACCAACTCTTTACCTGATCGATATGATTGGCATCCCCAGTAGGCCAGCGATGCTTGCTAGGTGTGCAACTTACAAGCTGCTCCCCAGGCTGCCTCTGAAAGAAGTACCCTACTGTGGCGTCATCCTGAGACCTCCCGCTCAGCGGGGGCTGTGGGGTACCTGGGGTAGGGTTAGGAACCCTGTCCATGCCCTGTATGTGTGGCCCTCCAGGAGCCTGACCAGCTCCGCCAACTGTGGCTAGGGGCCCTCCGCCATGAACTCGGACACCCCCAGACTCAGGAGCACCATTTGCATGCAGCATCCCACCTCTCGTCTCCTGCCAGGCCACGTCATTCATACCTAGGATGCTGCATGGAATGCTCATTCCACGGGAAAGCCTAAAAAACAACAACAACAAAAAAACAGACAAAGTAAGATTTACTCACTGAAATGTATATTTTCTTATTTCAATTTCACTTGCATAAAATTGAAAGAAATCTTATTAGAGGATATAGTATCTCTGTGTGTCCTGTACAATTACATATAAATGACCAATAAGAAACACTAGGTTATAAAAGACTCAGATGTAATTTTAATTTCATTATACAATGTAATGTAGCACCCATTACAATTTGGTGTTTACGGCATCATAATTGGCTTTTATGAAAGCCCATGCTATTATAATGCGACCATCGTGGACTTATTAAATCCTCCTTGAGCCTTCAGACAAAAATCAGCTTTTACATCCCATTAAAGATGTTCATCCAAAAGAATAATAAAATGATAACTAATGCTTTTAATTTTCCTCGCTGGGACAAGACTAATTCCCGAGCTGCTAACAACACGCCAGGGATATAGTTGTCTAATTCTGCTTAACTATTTGTGCTACAACAGGTTAGTAATGTTTTGTTAAATTAAAAAGATCGGGCCAAGAACGAAACAAGCGACTGACATCGATGTTGGTGGCTTATAAGAGCAACACCGCTCGGTAACGTTGTCGTTAGCCAAATTCTAGCTGGTGACCATACGACTGGGGATACCAGCAATAAAGCTTCGACTACCACACAGACATACACGCATAAATGCAAATATTCAGCGATAGCCACGACTGATTCCTGAGATGATGTAACGAGCTTGCAACAACGTATTCAAATTTGAAACTGTTCATTGTGGCACACCAATTAGCAGCTTGGCTAGCTAGCCTAGCCTAGCCAGCAGCAAGCAAGCCGCTGTAATAATAAGGAAGCTACCTTAACGACTTTCAGCGGGGATTTGCGTAAATGTTTATTTATTTATTTATTTATTAGATTGTGTTTGCTTTGTTGCCTCGCTTCTTTTTATTGTTTACTTTTTCCCCCTCATGTATTTCTGCTAGCGGAAATCGAACATGATTAAAGCTAACCATTGGTTCTCTGGAGCTAACTAGCTAGTGCTAACCGCAAAGGGCCTGTTGTGTTTATTATTGGTGAGACATCAAAGAAATTCGCTTAATTCACTGCTGTTTTATAGTCAGCGGTTGGCTTTGCATGTTAAATAGAACACATTTTCTCGACTTATTATCCGATATTCACTGTACACAACACGTTACGGCCATCTCCGAGAGCTAACAAACGCTAATAGCCATGTTGCTGTTGTTAGCTAAAACATCAGCCAAACACTGAGTGGCTAAACAACATGGCCCCCCTTCAAGTTCCAAACAGAGGGGCCTTAACCGCTAAACAAAAGGGGAAATACTCGCACGGCGGCAACCGCTTCCAAAGCAGTCCCCTTACACAGCTTTGGATTCGGTTGTGAACAGATGTGAGGGCATACTCACGCGTTGTCGTGTCGAGAGAGGATCTGTGCTTGTTGCACGCCGTCAACCCGATTCTATATTGTTTTGTTTCCTTGGAGAGAGAGCGGTGATTTAGCAAAGCTTGGTAGTCAAAGCTAACAGTTGTCTACGCTAGTGCCCCCTCCCTGTAAATAGCGTGAACTACGTAGACATGCGTATAACAATGTCAGTGTCAATTTGCCTTCCCAGCGTGCCTTTTGAGCACCAAACCCCCCTGTGTTAGGCAACCTAATATGTGGTATCATAGAAATTAGTCTCAGAGACACTTCCCCACCCAAAATCACTCTCACATTTCATAGGATAAACTGGCTTAGTCTGAATGAATCCTCATTAGACAGCCGGCTCATGTCATTTTGTGAACAAAATGCTGACTCAGTAATAAAAGTAGCAAGCCAATGTGTCCGGGAAGCTTATTTGAAAGGGAGGTTTCAAAGAAGAAGTACGTGTATATTTATCGTCATCGTGCTGTGATTTTAGTTGATTTCGCCTGATTCTCAGTCGGGTGGATCCTCGTGGTCAGTGACCCCTCCCTCCTCCAACGCGAGAAAAACCCGACGGGACCCAATCACCTTTTCCTTTACAGACGGTGATCTCACCTCCCCATTTCCGATTGGATTGCTATATTTAGGAAAACGCCTTACGCTTTATAAAGAGATTGCTGTAGTTTGTGGCAAAAGGCTCCGGAGTTAGTGGAAAGGACTGACTTGAGGGACGAGTTTGACCAGTATCTGCTTAGAGTTTAAAAGCTACTGGACTTGACACGACTAAATATTTACAACTGCCGACTTTGGACTGAGCCGCGTTTGAGAGCGAGAACTGGGAGAGGCAGCAATGGCAGACATACGAAAGAAACTTGTCGTGGTGGGCGACGGTGCATGTGGGAAAACATGTCTACTGATAGTATTCAGCAAAGACGAGTTTCCAGAAGTGTATGTCCCGACTGTGTTTGAGACGTACGTGGCGGACATAGAAGTGGATAACAAGCAAGTCCAGCTGGCTTTGTGGGACACAGCCGGACAAGAGGACTACGACCGGCTGCGGCCGCTCTCCTATCCGGACACCGACGTCATTCTGATGTGCTTCTCGGTGGACAGCCCGGACTCGTTGGAAAACATCCCTGAAAAGTGGGTCCCTGAAGTGAAACACTTTTGCCCGAACGTACCCATCATATTAGTGGCCAACAAGAGGGATCTCCGCAACGACGAGAACGTGAAGAATGAGCTGTCTCGGTTGAAGCTGGAGCCAGTGAAAACAGAGGATGGCCGGGCCATGGCCACGCGCATTGGCGCATATGACTATTTGGAGTGCTCAGCTAAAACCAAGGAGGGGATCTGGGAAGTATTTGAAACGGCAACACGGGCAGCTTTACAGAAACGACAAACAACCACAGGTGGCTGTTTCAAATGCTGTGTTTTAATGTGAACTGACTCTGGCTTGGGCGGGGGGCTACTGGGACGCGCAAGAACAGACGTTTCCTGCGTTGGGGTCTGTGTCTGGGCATGTGAGGGCAGTGACCATTGTTCGGACACTCCCTCGAAGTCGGATGCCTTTGCTTGAACCAAAACCGATGACTGCAAACGGAGCTGATTGGAACACACACGAATATCTGATGGCGGGTGTAATGTGGGGGGGAAATACACTGGTTATGGCATGTTGGCATGTTCTTTTTGGGGTCACATGATCCCAGTCTGACTGGAAAAAAAAAATCACAAAGCGTTTGATTTCAGTGGGCGACTTTTCAATCCCCTTCTGCATCTTCTCGTGTAGACGAGAAGGCCTGCTGGAGAGTCGAGATGACTCTGCTCTCTTTTTTTGTGTTTTAAAGTTTGCATAGGCCACAAGCTTTATTGCCAAGGTTATACTGTGTAACAAGTAAAGCAAAAAGAACAAATGCACTGTAATTTTTAATATGAGGTAATTGAAGTTTGATCTTGCACAAGACCAGGATGCTACAGCAACTCATAGAAAGAAAGCTTGTTAAAACTACAAGTATTGCCAACTTGTTGTTGTTGGTTTTTTGTTGGGTTTTTTTTGGGGGGGGGTTGTGATATTTTAGGGCACTTTTGCAAAGACATTTCATAGTTAAAGGTTGTAATTGGTTATTTATGTTTTTAGAGTTTGTTAGTTTGGAGCACGGCTAAAAATAACGTATAATTTTGATTCCACAGTATTAAATGTCTTTTTCCCTTTCAAATTATGCAGCAGGTTAGATTTGATTCAAGGTTGACAAGACTACACCTGGACCAGTCTTGAAAAGGGCTAACCACAATGTCCTGTAGTTTTGCAGGTTTTCAGACAGAAACTCTGTCAGTATTAAGTGGGAGTCATGTTTTACAACTTTAGTTTTTTATGTTGCTAAGCATGCTTTTACACAAGTTTTAACTCATTTTGGCTAATTTATACAAACACATTGTCTTCTGTACAGCACATCTGAACAGCATCTTTTGAAGCACATACAGTATATAGTCCCATTTCCATCCAGCTGTCTCTGTTCTATCAAACACATGGGGGGGGGGAAACAGCTTGAAGTTTTCTGTTTGGGCACAGCATCATTTAGAGTGGCACGGAGGATATTTCCCAGACACAATTAAGCACTTGAGACGGTGTGGCATGTGATGGTCTTGCTCGGTGAAGGGCGTTTTCTCAAAGTGTCATGAAACTGCTGTTTATGACCCAACAGCATACGCTCATGTGGGATTAAGCCATCTGATGGCAACACTTTATTGAAAGTGTTTCATGCAATTCTATTAGTAGAACACTTATGTAATAGTGACACACACTTAAACTAAAGGGCTTCCCTTTGATTATTAAAACATGAGAAAACGGTAAATGTGAAGTACTAATGATTATAGAGCTGTTAAACTGAATTAAATACAATTGAGAAAGAGAAAGTTTTTTTTTTTCTTTTTTCCCTTTTTCTTAAAATCTCAATGTCTTCCATTATGACAGTGAATGTACCTTAAATTTATGTTGTCAAAAAATGTTACTGAAAGCTAAAATCAGTGTATTTTGAGCTGACTTTTTTTTTTTTTTTCATTCTTGTGAAAAGGATTCAGATTTTCTTTTTTTCTTTCAGTGTCAACATAAGTGTTGTGTAACTGTCCTCTTGCTTGATAGTGGGAGTGTTTGTTCATATGACTGTGAACATCAGTTACAGAGACTGTTGTTAAGGGTGAAACTCTTACTGTTCATGTTTTGCTCTTTTTACTTGTTATTGGAAACAAAAAAAGATGGATTTTTTTTGCTTTAAACACTTACTTTGTGTTTTACTAAGAAACTGCGCTGCAGGCACATCTGTGTTTAAAAATACTTTCCAGCCGAAGTTACAGTGGCATTTAAAAGTCACATTCCTCCTGTCTGCTGTCTGTTGCTGTCTTTTTTTTTTTTTTTTTTTTTTTGCTGACATACAGCACAGGAATGCATTGTGCTGGACTGGTTAATTTCCCACACCGGCCCCCCTCATGTGCCTCTGATTTGCAATGATTTTAGGTTAGTATTTGTGATAAGATGGTACAGTTTGCGTCTCCTCATACAAAAGGAAATTGTGGAATATGCCAAACCTATCTCTTTGTAAGAGTTTATTTGATGCCATTGGTGTAATTACACAATGCTTTCTGTGGAAGAATGGTACAATTAAAAGAGGGGGAAAAAAAACAGAATGTAAGGGAACAAGTGGTACTGTTCTGGGAAAGTCAATAAAAAAAAAAATCAATGTGTTTCACTAACTGCACTTTTTTCCACTCTTGTCGCATTTTCCTGACACACAGCTTTCTTTCCTTTTATCGTACAAAGAAACATTACGTATACTGATAAAATAGTTGGAACCTGCTGGTAAATTTAGAAAATTCACTCTATTAGTATTTCTTTCTTTATTTGCTTTAATCAGGATCCACTGAACCATCACTTTGATTCAGGCCTTTGAAACAAGAGTAAATCTAATGTACTTGTGTATTTGCAGTTAACTTTTGTATGTTTTGCTGAAAGAAATTTATGCTAGTTCAAAATACCTGCTCTTCAACAAGTGACAACATTAAATAACACTTATACGAAAATGAATAATTCTACCCCACTATACAGATTTATGACCTAAATGCCCAAAATGAACAGTACTGGTAATTGTAAAAATCCTTTTTTGTTAATATTACAATATGTTAAAAATAAATATTTTAACTGCTAAAATATAATTATTGTTGTTAGCCATGAATTTCCACTTTTACCATTTTACAGAAAAGCTGAAAAAATATTTAAAGCACATTATTATTATTTTTACTACAGTTATTTACAAACATTCCTGAATAGAAAAATCAATTTTAGTGTTTGAATGTTATGTTTGGTTCATATTTGAGATCTCAGAGAAGTCCAGTGTACTTGTTCATATTTGGGTAAGAAAACATTGGATTCAGTTTTTCATTTGCCTAATAAATAATAAATAACAGCATCATTTGTTTTAGTTATAAATATATTTTTGATAGATTTAAAAAATATTTGCATTTTCTTGTTTTTATGACAGACAGTCTGATAAATTTGTCGTCGTTCCCATTATTATGAATATGTTTACTTTTAAGAGTCTCATAGTTTACTCGTTCTCATATTATTTGCAAACCCTTTAAAGATTTAAGTTTGTTTATACTTCTAATGACTTATTTATCACGTTATACGAGTCAATAAGCTGTATACTTATTTCACCACTTCTCATGATGACACATAGCCTGTAGCTGTCCCCAGACAAAATAATCCTATTATTCCAAAGGGGCAGTACATTTTGAGACTTGACTTCTAACTATTGTTATAACCCTGGTCAAAATGACTCTGTTTCTATATTGTGATTGTTTTATTATAAGAAATGTGTGTGTGTGTGTGTGTGTGTGTGTGTGTGTGTGTGTGTGTGTGTGTGTGTGTGTGTGTGTGTGTGTGTGTGTGTGTGTGTGTGTATCACAGAAACTATTTGTGTCCGATCTAAAATTAGACCAGAGGATAAAAATTACTAGCAAGGGTGTATTGCTGTGATCTTTAGGGAGTAAGCTTTTTATTGTTTTAAATCTGTACAGGAAAACATAAAACTACATGAAGAAATATTTATAGTCCATTAGCTTCCAATCTTTTTAACCAGTCAAGGTAAACTTTATGTAAAGAATGCACAGACATGAATGCAGTACAAACTGTATTTATTGATACCCAGACAGGGCTTTTGTTTTAAATAGTACAAGACACAAAGGGAGCACTGGGCGTCTGTTGTGAAATAATAAACAAAGGAACAAACATTATACAGGCATAATTTTTATTGCTCAGTTTGGTTTGCTGTTATGAAAATAGATTCACTATTACACCGTTGGTTACAAAACACAGAAAGTCAATACAGACACTATATCCTATATCATTGTTAGCTATGGTTGCTTAGTTGAATTTGGCAACAAATGGCAAAGGGATGTCAACCTCTACTTTTTGGTCACTTACTCTAACATATTTTTCAACATTTTTGCTTTTTTCCTTCAGGGATGTAATGGCATTGTTGTGCAGAGTATTAATGCCTTTCACCATTGAATTAATCCAGGACTGGATGTCAGCTGTGAGTTGTTTACTAGATATGTCAGCCAAAATATTTTGGAGTTTAGCAGTCACAGCTTTTAGATATTCCATTACAACTCTGCAGACCTCTTCAACCGGCTTGATAACGCCAGCCATAACAGGAGAGTTCATGGCATCGTTGTATGCAGTACTCACAAAGTCAGAAAGTGTCTCCAGATTCTGGGATTTCAGAGTTTGGAGAAGCTTCTCACTCTGTTGGATGGTAAACTGCATGATTGCTGATAATTTCTTTACAATGTCCTCCAGCCGGATATCTCTAAATTTTCTCACAGTAACAACCACTTGGTCCTGGATTTTCTTTAAAGCTACCAACATATCGTCAAGAATTTCCTTTCCACTGACGATGCGATTAGAACCTGGGAAGGTGAATTCAGTGGCTTGGAAATAATCAAGTGCCGTTGCAAACATGGAAGAAAGGTACTCTGGAATCTTATGGATTGCTTCTTCAGATACATCAGCAACAAAAGCAGTACATTTCTGATAGACCTCAAGCCCAGACAGCTTCTCTTTATAGCCAGGAATCTGGAACCTAGTCGCTCTCAGAAATTTAACAACAGCATCAAGGAACTTTTCAACTTTCTTCTGGTAGTTTTTGAGGATTAAAACAGTATTATCTGTGACAGTGGTCACAATCTTGCAAGATTTTACTGATTCAAGACTGTTAATAGCCCTCTTGAACATCACATTACCCTGCTTTTTAGCCTGTGCAAAGGAACCTTCGAGTCTTCTAACTTGTTTGTTGACCGCCTTGTATGTTATGACAGCAGATTCAGACACTATTTCCATGACCGCAGGCACCTGTTTCTTCGCTCCGAGCATCATCTCGTATGGTATTTCCATATTCCAGGTTGTTTGAAGGTTCAGCTTCTCAGAGTTGATCACAGACATCTTCAGACCCAAGATATCAATGTCTGTGGATGGCTCAGACTAAACAGGACACATAAAAACCAATAAGTTAATTATTTAAATAATACATCATTTAGGTTGGAAAAAAATCAGCTTTTATTAGAAAGTGCATCGATAGTAGACTATCATCTTACCGGGTAACGACCATAGAGTCTTGCTTTCACTTGTGCCGGTCGCTTAGCCTGCATCTGAACTGCAATGAGTCCTGCAGATGGATTGGAAACTGAGACAATAAGGCCTTCTTCTGGATTTCCAGTAATCTCCTCATAGATTTCCATGGTCAGGTCAAGAATGTTGACCTTTGCGGTGTTTGTGATGGCGATAGCTACATTTTCAGTAGTTAAGAAGATGGTGCTGTCATGATGTCCCTCTAGCATTGAATGTTTCACATTGAGGAGAGAGGCCATTTTAAATCCACCCATCACGTTCACATTGGTGTTGCCCTCAATCATTCCATTCAGGATCTCAAATTCAGATGTTGAAGAAGCATCTAGTTTGATGGCGATGCTGTCCTGCTTTAGGATGCT